GAAAAAGGTTTATTTTAACAAAAACGCACTCAAAAGAGTGGATGACAGTACAAGGTTCCAAAACAAGGCTGTGGCATAAACTATGATCAAAGTATCAAGAAAGAGTAAACAAGGCTATGGAAAGATTAACAAAACTGTGGTAAAACATGGCTATGAAAAAAATGTGGCTATGGTACAAAACAAGACTATGGCAGTAAAGTGAACAAGGCTGTGACAAATCAAACCTGACATGGGGTGAAGAAAACAGACAGATGAAAACGCACTCGCACAGGACATGGGTAACGAGGACTATTTAAACACATGAGGGAGAGGAACCCCAGGTGTACACAATAGGTAATCAAGACATGATGAGACACCAGACATTCCCCCAGAATTGACAGAGCCCCCCCCTTAAGGGACGGCTCCCAGACGGCCCTAAACACACATGAGGACCACGGGAGGGTGGGGGGGATCAGGAACAGAGGGAACAGACACAAGGCATGGTACATGGTGTTGAACATGGCGTGGAACATGGCGTTGGACATGGCGAGGGACATGGCGTGGGACATGGCGAGGGACATGGCGTGGGATAGGGCGTGGGACATGGGGTGGGATAGGGCGTGGGACATGGCATGGGGAGGGGCGTGGGAAGTGGCGTGGGACATGGCGTGGGACATGGCGAGGGACATGGGGACGAGACACCAGACATTCCCCCAGACGTGACAGAGCCCCCCCCTCAAGGGACGGGGCTCTTGGCGCTCATGGCGAAGGACATGGCATGGGGAGGGACTTGGCAAGGTACAGGGCGAGGGACATGGCATGGCGAGGGACTTGGCAAGGTACAGGGCGAGGAACATGGCGTGGGATAGGGCGTGGGACATGGCATGGGACATGGCGAGGGACATGGCGTGGTATAGGGCGTGGAACATGGCGTGGGATAATGCGTGGTACATGGCATGGGACATGGCGAGGGATATGGCATGGGACATGGCATGGGACATGGCGAGGGACATGGCGAGGGATGGGTGTGGGACATGGCGAGGGGATTGGCGAGGAGCATGGCATGGCGAAGGACTTGGCAAGGTACAGGGCGAGGGACATGGCGTGGGATAGGGCGTGGGACATGGCGTGGGATAGGGCGTGGGACATGGCTTGGGACATGGCAAGGGACATGGCGTGGGATAGGGTGTGGGACATGGCGTGGGATAGGCCGTGGGACATGGCATGGGACATGGCGAGGGACATGGCGAGGGGCTTGGCGATGGGCATGGCGAGGGAAATGGCGATGGACATTGCGTGGGACAGGGCGAGGGACATGGCGAGGGACAAGGCGAGAAGACTTTGGCGTGGCGAGCCCCCTCTAGACTCGCCCACGGGCACGGGGGGAAGACACCAGACATTCCCCCAGAGGTGACAGAGCCCCCCCCTTAAGGGACGGCTCCCAGATGGCCCTAAACACACATGAGGACCACGGGAGGGTGGGGGGGATCAGGAACAGAGGGAACAGACACAAGGCGTGGAACATGGCGTTTAACATGGCGTGGAACATGGCACGGCGAGGGACTTGGCATGGCGAAGGACGGGACATGGCAAGGGACTGGACTTGGCGAGGGACATGGCGAGGGGCATGGCATGGCGAGAGACTTGGCAAGGTACAGGGTGAGGGACATGGCATGGCGAGGGACTTGGCAAGGTACAGGGCGAGGGACATGGCAAGGGACATGGAGAGGGACATGGCATGGGACATGGCGAGGGACATGGCGTGGGATAGGGTGTGGGACATGGCATGGGACATGGCGAGGGACATCGCGAGAGGCTTGGCGAGGGGCATGGCGAGGGACATGGCATGGCGAGGGACTTGGCAAGGTACAGGGCAAGGGACATGGTGTGGGATATGGCGTGGGACATGGTGAGGGAAATGGGCTGGGATAGGGCGTGGGACATGTCATGGGACATGGCGAGGGACATGGCATGGGATAGGGCGTGGGACATGGCATGGGACATGGCGAGGGCCTTGGCTAGGGGCATGGCATGGCAAGGGACTTGGCAAGGTACAGGGGAGGGACATGGCATGGCGAGGGACATGGCTTGGGACATGGCAAGGGACATGGCAAGGGACATGACGAGGGACATGGCGAGGGACATGGCGAGGGGCTTGGGGAGGGGCATGGCGAGGGACATGACATTGCGTGGACATGGCGAGGGACATGGCGAGGGATAAGGCGAGAAGACGTGGGCTTTGAGAATAAACTCAGTCCTAACAGAGTCACGCAGCCATGGAGGAGACCGGCCAATGAAAAGGTATCAGGCAGAGCCTCTTTTCCAAAGAGCCCCCAGAGGTCAGGCTACAGATCCGTTTAGACCACTTCTGGCTTGAGGGCAGCTTAGCATGCGGGCTGGATTCAAGCCCACAACCTGAGCTTCAGACAGGAAGCTGCCTCTGATGGACCAGTTCTGCTTGGGTTTCTGACCCGGACACGTTCTGCCAGGGTTACGTAGTTAGTTCATACTTATTCCGCGGCTTATTATAGTTCTCCCGTTTGGGGATTTTCCTGTTGACTTCCTAGAGGGGGCAATAGGTGGCGCCCCCTACAAAATTTCTTTAGAAGTTTTTTCTAATTCCTCCCACTCTGTGATCTGTTTAACTCAAGATCAAAAGCCCATGTTCTTGGAGTGGGAAATCGGTGGACCCTCTTCAAAAGTAGCAGTAGTAAACAGGCAGTAGGTGGCCCCCCTCAAAATTTCTTTAGAAATTTTCTATTTCCGCGACATATAGTTCTCCCGTTTCCCTCACAAATTTTGGCGCCTAACTAGTCCAGCACAGTTTGATGGATCTGGCCCAAAAAAGACACCCACGTCTTAACCTACCACGGGAAGCGTGCTTGTATCTCTCTCTCTCATTAATGCTGGCGTTTTCAAATAAACAGCAAAAAAAGGCGAAACACCGTCGTATAGGAAATGAATGGGAAAGCAGAAAAACAAGCCCAAAACATAGGCCGCTTTAGGGCCTAATCACTCGGCCCCATGACCTCTAATAAACCTCATTTGAAGATTAAACGGGTCACGAGAGATGGGCCTAAAAAATACGGGAGCCACGAGCCCTGATCCCACACCGTTTGGCCGCAATCACTGGTGACATTTTGGTAAAAATCCGAAAAACACTCAAATGTCCTCTCCACTCCAGTGACATCATCACAGGCTCTGACTTTCCAGTGGGAGAAATGACATAAAAAGGCCAAACTCCTTCCTCTCATGCCCAAACTGTAGCGCCAAATGGGACCAAAAAGTCTCAAAACATGGTCACCGATGTCCTCTTTGGGTGGATGTGTTCACCATTGACCTGGACCTCACGGTTTTCCCGCCAACGGGCCCAGAGGCTTTCCCGCCTCTATATTGTACTGTTCTGTCACTTTCTTTGACCTACAGCTTTGCCACCTTTTGCTCAACCCAGACTTGTCATACATCATTGCGTAGGTCTATGTCTCAGCTTTCAGCCAATGTGACTCTGGTCCTGCTCAGTCCTGGTTCATGGTCAGCAGGCCCCAGAGCGCACTCAGGTCCCTCCCACTCTGTCTCCTCCAATGGCCGTGCTTTAATTCTGTCTTTCAGGAGCCCTTATAGATCCAAGCCAACATCATAGACAACCCACATGTCAGTCCTTTGACCTTTCCAGGGGGTCCCAGGCCAGGTTAGAGGGCCCCAGGTCTAAAGCCCATGTTCCTGGAGCGAGCAGTAGGTGGACCCTCTTCAAAATTTCTTTAGAAATGTTCTATTTCCCTAAATTATAATTCTCTCGTTACCGTCACAAATTTTGGCAGTTAACTAGTCCCACACGGTTTGACGGATCAGGCCCAAAAAAGACATGCGCGTCTGAACCTACTACTGGACACGTGCTTGTATTTCCCTCTTTCATTAGTCCTGGCGTTTTCAAACAATCAGAAAAAAAGGCGAAACGCCGTCCTACAGGAAATCAATGGTGGAAATACAGGCCCAAAACATAGGCCACTTCTTGGCCTAATCGCTCGGCCGGATGACCTCTGATAAACCTCATGCAAAGACATTTACATTTTGGTAAAAATCAGAAAAATCCCCAAATGTCCTCTCCACTCTAGTGACATCATCACAGGTTATAATTTTCCAGAGGGAAAAATGAAAAAAAGGGTAAAACTCCTTCCTCTCTCGCCCAAACCATAGGGCCGATCAGGACCAAAAGGCCTCAAAACATGGCCACAGACGTCCTCTTTCAGCTGATGTGCCTGTTTTTGACCTGGACCTCACGGTTTTCCCGCCAACGGGCCCAGAGGCTTTCCTCTCACCCCCAAAATGTTGACGTTTTTGTGAAAATCAGAAAATCCTAAAATCTGCCCTCCACTCTAGAGACATCTTTAAAGCCTCTAATTCTTCTTTGGGGACATTCACAAAAAAAGATCAATCTCCTCCCTCTTTCTGCTCCACTTGGGTTTCTGAACCTCGACAGGTTTTCCTCAGGTTTCTGAAACTGGACCAGTTCCTTCTAGGTTCAGAAATTTAGACCCTAAAATATTGTCAGTCACCAAAGCGAGATGGGATCGGGTTCTGGTTTGGAGCCTCTCTGGGCAGATGTTCTTCTTCTGAACGTCCTTGAAGCTGTCCATCAAAACCACAGAGCCAATGGGAGGGTAGGGAGGAGGACAAGGGGGTGGGACTAAAAACTGGACCACAAACAGACTCAAAGACAGGAGGTCACCAAACTGAGAGCTGGGAGGCAAAGATGATGCTGGACAGCAGGAACCAAAGCACCTGCTGTGGAACCAGACCAGGAACCAGCTCCACAGGACTCACACCAGGAACACAAGCCAACACACAAAGTGGGCCAAACTGTCTTTAATCTGTACAAAAGTGTTTTACAGAACAGAGAGATACAGGATCTGCCTCCCACTGGCTGTGTCCAGTTAAACAGCTTCAGTTAAACATCCGGCTGCATCTCTGTGTCCTGCAGGACTCTGAGGGGGAAAAGCTGAGCATCAGCCTGGACCTGAGAAGGGCTGTGAGGAATGAGACACCCTGAGATGGACGTGCAGAGGCAGGGTAACAGGGTAGAGACGAGGAAGGAGGGTAGAGACGAGGAAGGAGGGTAGAGACGAGGAAGGAGGGTAGAGACTAGGAAGGAGGGTAGAGACGAGGAAGGAGGGCAGAGACAAGGAAGGAGGGTAGAGACTAGGGAGGAGGGTAGAGAGGAGGAAGGAGACGAGGAAACAGAACTTGTGTTGGGGGAGTCTGATTGGTGAATCCAGAGCAGCTGGAGCTCATTTCTTCAGTCAGAGAAAAGCAAAAAATCCATCAGCCACCAAGAAGCCAATCAGACCGATTCTTCAGCCATTAGAGGAGTTTGATTGGTGTCCTCTGCGTGATCCTGGACCAGATCTCTGCCTGCAGAGGAGGCAGAAGGTAGTCAGACTCAAACAAACAAACACAAACAGACACAAACAAACAAACCAACACAAACAAACCTGTGACTCTCAGCTGAATTGTTATCTCCCTCCTAACCCTGCTGCTCTCCACCCAGCATCTGTACTCTCCTCTGTCTCTGACTGTGGGCTGGTCCAGAGTCAGACTGAGGTCTCCGGTTCCCAGCGGGTCTTCCTCCATCCTGGTTCTGTTCCTGTAGAACTCGTCCTGTTGGTCAGTTTGGTTTGAACCCTTCTGATATTTGTGGACCCTCATGAACTCTGGTTTAACCCGTTCCCAAACAATCAGGGTGTTTTCTGGCAGGTCAGGGGGCGTTTTGAAGGGCAGCACCACAGACTCCGCCCCCTCCTCCACCTCCACCTGTTGGTCTGACAGAAGGACAAACAGCAGCTGGGATGAGTGAGCCCCAGCTTCTGTTTCTTAGCTGATCCAAACAGAGTATCAGCTTTAACCCCTGACCTTTGACCTGTACCCACAGCACTGACCTCTGACCCTGAGCAACACTTGTTTCCTCATCAGGACGTCCCCCTCTCTGCTGTAGACACTACAGGTCAGGATGTCTGAGTATTTGGGCTGGTCCACAGTCAGACTGAGGTCTCCGGTTCCCAGAGGGTCTTCCTCCATCCTGGTTCTGGTCCTGTAGTACGGGTGCTGTTGGTCAGGTCTATCAGAACCGTTCTGATAGACATGCATAACAGTGTTTTTATCATCTGTCCACTCCACTCTGGCGTCTTTGGGCAGCTGAACTGAGGCTCTGCAGGGCAGCCGGACAGACTCCTCATAATCCACCTCCACCTGTGGAACTGAGGACAAACACAGACAGCAGCAGCTCTGAGAACCCGTCTGCTGGGTGGAGGCAGGAAGGACGGCATGTTCAGCACTCACCTCTGACTTTGAGCACCACTTCTCTCTTCATTAAGACTTTTCCATCTTTGCTATAGACCCTGCAGGTGTAGAAACCCTTATCTTTATATGTGGGGTGTTTCAGAATCAGATCAAAGTTTTTCTCCATCTGGGTTCTGTTTCTGTAAGACCAATCCTGTTCTGCAGGTTGATCAGAGCCGATCTCAGACACATGGACCTTCCTGCCATCATCATCTGTCCACTCCACTTTAGTTGCTTTACGCTGGTGAAACAGAGCTCTGCTGGGCAGAAGGACAGACTCCACCCCCAAATCCACCTCCACAGCTGAGGGGAAGCAGCAGAATTTTATTGAGTATGTAGATTTAAAAACTGTTCATTTTACCATCATTAGTTATTTTCTTCTAAAATAAAGATGCGCTGTGATCATGCCAGCAGGTTCTAAAGGGTTAGAGATGACTGAGGAAGCCTCT